TTTGAAGTTTGGACTGTTGGTTGGACAAAATACTTTTGTAGATGACACTTTTCTCTGGCTAATTGCGATAGGCATTTCTCACAAGTCTCAGAATTTTCACAAACCAATCACTTAATCATAAAAATAAGGTAATTATTAGTTCCAGGCCTTTACAAGACTAGTTAAAAATTTGATTCTTATCACTCAATTCCAATTATTAATTTGTTGTGTACTCTAAGTAGCCTACATGTTTCTGATCATTCATACATACTTTTGCTTAACATTTTCAGCACAGGATTTTTACTTGTAACTGAGTGTTTTTGTAGTGTGGTATTAATACTTGAACACTTTCTCCACCACTGCACTTAAGCAAAATTATCATGAACTAATATGAGAGTTGGACCACTGTCTTAAATTAATTCATAAGTAACAATCCCACAAGGGAGCAGTTTGCTTCTTTTCATGTAGCCTCCCTGAATGCTGCCTTTTATGTGATGTGCATTGGATTTACATGTAGAAGCCTTGTTTATTTATGAATGGGGCTTATTACCTGCATACAATTACCTCCAGAAGGTTATGTTTTTACATTTGTTTGTTTGTTTGTTCACAGCATAACTCAAAAAGTAATGAATGAAATCAGGCCAGGGCCATTAAATATATACTACAACCAAAGGGTCTAGAAGATTTAGGGTATAACATTTTTTTTAAATTTTTTTTGGAGTAGGCTATATGGTGGGACAGCCTCTGATACAAAGAAAGAGTAATTCCATGTACAGATTGGACTGTGGAATTTTAAGATTTGTTATCATAACCAAACATAATATTTCTACTTCATAACATGAAGGATGTGTTAGACCTGCAATAAAACAGAGTTTACAAGCTCAGGCAATATTTTATTTAAATTGAATGATTTTCTCAAATTCTTAGCATTCACAAACAATTCCAGTGTGCTGCTGTCACATTTTTCTGCAAACATGTACATTCTAACTTCAAAATGCAAAAGTAATATGGCCAAAATTCTGTCTGTGGTCAAAGATAATGCCACACTTAGCATGCAGTAAAATGAAAAAAGTATGTTGTTATACAAATTCATTTTGACAGTTTCATCAAAATTGTTTTCCGCATGTTTTTTGTGTTCCCCATGTTTATGTTATGCTTGACAGAGAAAGTTTTGAAAGAAAAATGTACCACAAATGGCTATAGTTTAGACAACCACTGGAAATGTTCAATTGTAATTTTATTATTGAATGTTATTTGACGTCTTGCTAATAAGTACACTTGAATTAATGTCTTCAGCCACTGAAAACAATATTGACAGTTTTATACTGCCTCGTTTATGCCTGTCAGTGTTGGGGACTAATGAACAGTTTCCATGGAATGACTCACGGACTGCTGTATTGTTCACCGCTTTGACAGTCAGATTAAAACTGTTACTTCCTAAATGAAACTGGACAACTGTATTAGCAAATGTTTCATGAAGCCAATGAAACCAATTGGCTATACAATACACATGCTAATTATTTTGGCAAGTAACCGGAAGTGTTGTATAGTTTATTTCGGTCAACCTGACAGCAGTTCAGTTCTACAGGGTTTGACAGTCTTATCTGTTGCTTCCCTGGATGTTGGAACTCTCAGCTGCTTGCTGTCAATAGTGCATGCCGTCGTTCGAATGCAAACGGAGTCATTTTAAGTTAGCTTTGCAACCAAAGCGACAAGTTTAGGAGTCCAAACTACTTTCAGTTGTTGCACATTTCAGTGAACACTGTTCAGGTAAGTTAGGCAAGTTCGCTGAATACCCATGACATGATTGACACGAGTTAGCTTTAACTTGTTGCTAGCAGGGGTTTGCTAACAAGGGCAAGGCCAGTTAAGTAAGTTAAGCCGCAAGGTAATGAACGAGCAGTGAATAGTTTCTAGGGTAGTGTCGTGGACGCAGTAGTAGTACTAGTAACGTTGTTGCTCCTGCCAATGTTATGTTTTCGAGTCTCTGGTAGTCATTTTGCACTCCTTTTTTGTTATCCGTAGAAGATGGTGTCTGCATTTTCTCTGGACCTGGGGCCATTGAAAGAACCTCTCGGATTTATTCGTGTACTGGAATGGGTGAGTAATGTCAAAAACAATTAAATTAGATACCAAATCAAAGATAACGTTAGTGACGTATCGTTAGCCTATTAGCGGTCAACTACCATATCTACCCAGCATTTCTCCCATTTTATCGTAATGTTAATGTATTAATATTCCCTTTTCTAGTTGTTCTTTTTACTTATTCCAGGCACCATGCGAGTGCCTACAGTTGTTAGCTAACGTTATTATAAGATGCTATTGCACAGACTGAAGTGTAAATGCCAACGAAGACATTTGACGTTTCTATGCCCCTGCTGTGTTCTTTTGTAACTTTGGAAGTCTTGAATTTTGACCTGGTTCACTGAGTGAAATCATGCCTTGGCTTATGAATTTAAATATAGCTAATTATTTCTCAAGGGAAATGCTAAGTTGTACTGTAAAACCTTCCACATTTTTCATAGTAACACTCAGTTGTGTAGCAGTGAACCAAACTGGAAGCTGAAAAAATAGCCAGGGAATTCCCTGAAATTGCAGCTTTTGCACTGAAATAACCCAGCTAAGATGATAGGTTGTTGAACTGAACTGATCTTATGGTTCTGATTCTTTCATTGTGTTTCATTTAGTTTTTTTTGAACATGTCTGTGGTGTAGTTAAGTGCTGAAAGTGCATCCATTTTCAGGTCTGTGTGTCTGTAAATTTGACTGAGAGCAAGGCTTAAATATGCTATGGCAGCACTCAGCTGTTCTCACAGTGACTGTGATCTCATAGTGGTATGGTGTAGGAGCTTTAATTTCACTATTATTTCATATTGCCTAGAAATAATAATTCCAGTAAAATAAAACCTAAATTCCTGCAAATATTGGGATTCTAGAAATGTAAAGTCATTTTGTCCTAGCAGTTATGTTTTTTTTTATTATTTGTGGCTAAATAATTTTAAGTAGAAAATAATAAATTCACAATTTTTCATCATTGCTGAACAATGGTGGAAGAAATACTGAGATTCTAACCTAAAATAAGCAATACCACAGTGTAAAGATACACTTTTACAAGTGGGGATTTGTTGGGTTTTTCTTTTTATGATGATGATAATAATAATGATAGTAAGCTCTAGTCCTTACTTTGTAACGTGTTCTGAGACAACTTTTGTTGTGATTTGGTGCTATGCAAATAAAATTGAATTGAAAAGTCCAAAGTACAAAAGTATCAGCATCATAATACTTAAAGTACCATAAGTAAATATTTAGATATTCATCGATTATTACTAGCAAAACTCCAAAGCCCAAAACCTGCCATTTGGGACAGCCCTAAACTGGACAACAAAACACCAACATTGCAGTCAGTTGGAATGACTCCGGATTACAACCAGAATAATGCAATACAAAGGTAAAAAATTGAAAAGCGTAGCTTTAGCTTGCTAATGATGGCGATATATACACGTTAGCCAGCTACAGTACTTGGACATCTAGGAAGAAAGCTACATCTGCATCAAATTTTAGTCCTTTGGATTTTTTTTTTAATTCTCTCCATCTCCAACATGCCAATCCGGTGTTAACCTTGGTTTTGCCTCACTCTTTGTTGCACTCTTTCTGTGCTACAGAACATGGCCTTTTGGGTCTAACAGGTCTGCTCCCATCCTGGGTTGTACCTTACAGGGAGCCGCTATGGTTCATCTTCGAAATGAGCCATACTGATTTGAAAAACGCATATTACGACCTTGGATCAGTGGGAGCATGGAAGAAGTGCAGTGTGGATTTTAATAGTGGCCACAGAGGGCAAGAAATAAACACAAGGCTTGAAGATAGCAGAATGGGGGTGGGATGTAGTACACCAGGTAGAAAACATTTCTAGACTTTTATTTACTTGATTTATCCAAATATGTGCTAAATAATAGTTAATGCAGCTTTAAACACAACAGATGTAAAGTAGTTTGGACAACCAGGATGACAAAGTTTGTATACTGTAACACCTATGAAGAACATTTTATCAAGGAATATGAAAGACACTGTATAAATATATATTGTATAAACGGAACATATTTCTGAAGGATGAGCCAGCTTCTGGGTGCCTCCCATAGCCCCAAGGAATACAACCTGCCTTCCAGCCAAAGAGCTGGCAAACTACACAACCAAACAAGAAGCAAAACCCAAACACATCATTCATACACATAGTTAGGGCTGTCTCCTCACTGCATTTAATGTGGGCATGAACACATGCCCAGTATAGACATGAGTGTGAATCTCAAGGTGTATGCGAGATGCTACGCGCTACACACACACACATTTGGTCTGTACTGTTGCAAGTGCGACACGGACTGTCATGCCTCTAAATCTGACCAGCACGGAATCGGATATCTTGGAGTGATTGGCTGGTCACACTGAAAACTAGCCTTTTCTAATCTCTGCCACTCAATTGGTGCACCTCTATTGAAAACACTTGTAGAGATTGTGTCTTAATGGTTTGAGGCATCCTTTTCTCCTTGTTCTAGTGTTCCAAGCAACAATTTGCTCAAGACTGCTATCTGTGGTCAGGTATGCAGTGTCCCTGGCTGAAGTGGGTATCCTTCGCCCGCTATTCATTAATATTATGTTAAGACAACCTCAAGTTATGGTAAATAGATTTACTGTTTATGTCGAAAAGCTACTTTGAGTAGAACTGCCAAGGTGCTCAAATAAAAAAACTTGAGTTAAATAGTTTTAGCCTGTATTTGTTATGCTTTGGATGTTTAAAAATGCCAAGGAGTTTTGTTGTACAGAAGCTACACAAGATTTGAACCGTAATTTTGTTTTCTTTTTGTTAAAATGGGTTTTATAAAATTGGGATTGAAGGAACGGGTATCGATAGTGGTATCAAACTTTTTTTGAACAATAATCAAAAAATTTTTTTGAACAATATTCAGCCCTAACTATATGTGTGAAATAGAAATGGGAAAATGAAAGAAGGAATGATACACATATTGAAACATTGTGCATTTATTGAATTTAAAAAATAAGTTTTTTTATTTACTTTAAACATGACAACTGAAAAATAAATTTCATCTAACCAATTGTGTTTGACAGTTCAGAGGAAATTACTTATTGTTCTCTATTTATATTACAAATAAAACTGCTACTTCAGGTTAACAGTACAGACTGTCAGAGCTCAGTCACTCAGTCTGCTGGGCTCACCATGACACAGCCACATCCATCTCTCTCCCTCTTTCTCACTCAACAGTAAGGCTGCATACAATATGTTAGTCATCTTTCATTTTAGCTTGTTCATAACATTTAGTTATTAAGCAATAAACTGGTGGTGGATGACAGACTGCACGAGAAGTAGAAATTAATGCTCCTCTGTAAGTTTATACTCCTTAAGTGGGTGTTTTAATTGCTCTTGACTTTTTACCTGTGGAAGTTTTATTGAAGTTACAGTAACAAGCTTATGTACTGTCAACTCAAGTAATGTTTCACTTCTCCTGATGTGAGCAAAAATGCTCACATTGTAGAGTGCTAAAGGGTTGTGCTGGATTTGTAACATAAGACAAAACAAGAGCATCATTGCAAAACAGAGCAGCATAATAATGATTTTATCTGGATTATTTTGTTTTCATAATGGTGGAAAGCCAAAATCATCATTGAAAATAAAAATTAATTGCCCAGCCCTAACCAACGCTAATGGAATTTACTCCCTAGGTATTGAAATAAGGTACTGTATGACAAGGCATTTTTCAATACTTGATGGTATTGAAGCAATTTGGTCGGTGCCATAAGAAGTATTGAAGTTTGGTACCCAGCTCTACATGCAGGGCAAGGAAACAACACATGTTAGAGAGAGATAATGAACAAGAACTAATTGTTACATAACTTCAGAGAGTTTAGCAGTGCCACCCAGAACAGGAGTGTTGTTGATGTATGTTTCTGGAAAAAACGTGTAGCCACAGCAGGTGATTATGTAAGGTGGGAAAAATTGAAAGTAGTGAGTTGATGTGCCTAGGAACCAGCTCTAAGTAGCTGTTGTGAGGAATGCCAGCTGTTGAGATTCAAATAGCTTTGACATACTGTATGTGTTAATATCACCAGTATATTTTTCATGATGAAAAATCTGAATGGACTGCATACTAAAAAAAAAAAGAAATGATGTAGGAATCCCCCCCTCTTGTGATGGTGGTTGTATTTCTGGTTGATGCAAGCCATTGTGCTAACTGCTTCGTTACAGCACACACAGTACAGTGTGTGTACTTAAGGTGTTGTGCAGAAGTTGTTTCCTGTTGGTACAGTAATTAACAAACTGCTGCTGTACTTTGGAGTTTCACACCAGGAATGCACGTTTAAAAGTCTGGCTTTCTGTTCCACTGCTAAAATGAATTTTATAATGCTTGTTTTTTAGGGTTGGTATCAAAATGCATTTCTTTAAATATCAGCTGAGTTGTGACTTAAAAAGTATTTTTTAATAGAAGCAGTTTAGACAAGTTTCCTTAGTTCTCACTGTTGGCTGGTGGATGCAGAGCTGAAGAGGTGTTCAGGTCTGACCGAGCGGCCCTCTCTTCCCATGAAACTGACTATAAATCCTGGTGGCTGCTCTGCTAGCTCCCATGGCAATAAGGGTGCACTAGGAAACGTATACTATACACATTACTAGTCAACAGTCATACATTAGACTGTGGTAAGGGCAGGGTGTACAGTACTTGATGCGGAAAATGGTTTTGGCAAATTTTGTAAAAACATGGACACATTTTTAATGACTAATTGTAGAAAATGGTGAAGAACTGGCCAAATTAGGTGAACTTTTGAGGAACAAGCAATCGGTAGCAGCAGCCATCTTTTAAGTGTTCAAGTTTACATGCTGAATGAAATACACCGTCAGTACATTTCATATTACAGAGAACCAAGATCTCACGAGCCAAGTTTTCTAATTTGTGTCTTAAAATCAAATTAATGAAATTAATATCAAAGTTTGGAAAAAAACATGAAATGCTGCATGCTTTGTGTTAATGTGATTGAGGGGAGTTTCATTCAGTCATAGTCTATTAGACTTGGAGGTGCTCCCCATGAGTTTGAAGG